CTCTCTCTCTCTCTGCAATTTTCAACACTCTGTCCAACCTTCAACCCAACGAAGGACGAGTCGTTTATATCAACATAATGGTCCCAACCAGGTGCGCAATCACCAAATGAGCACGCAGTGGCAACACCAAACGACTTCATAATGATGGTTGCTAGGTAGAATGTAAAAATTATAAATTCGTTGATGTTGATGCTAAACGTGTAAAGCATCAATGAAGAAAACGTTTTTCGTCTAAATAATAGAAATAAGATGAAATAGAATTAAAATTTACACTGAACATATAAAGAAGTTGGATTATACATTGTCTTAATTTAAAAGTTACATGAATAGAAGTTAGAAATTACATGAACAGAAGTTTAAAAATACATGAACAGAAATTAGAAGTTAGACGAAAGCGTTTTAGAATTTTGAATCTAATATACCGCCATAAGTCCCAAGCCCTACGCCAGTCGCAATACACAGAGCTTTGTATTGGATGGTGTCAAGCTTACTTAAGAGTTTTGGCGTGCAGTTCATGAAGGCCAAAGAGCCGTAGTCTAATACAGAGCGTATTAGAGCACGATACACCATCATTAATGTCACTCTATTGGCACCCCATGTGCTACCCGTTATTTTTCTCATTAAGTTTAGGATTTTGGAGCATCTATCTACAGTCAAGTCGATGTGCGGTTTCTAGGTCAGCCTTCGGTCAAAGATTACGCCAAGGAACTTGGTTTGGTCTTTAAACTCGATGGTTTTCCCGTTCATACACAGAGTCATTCTGCTTATCCCACTATCCCTGCTCACGAGCATACCGACTGTTTTCTTCTCTGAGACTTTAAATCCCAAGTCGTTTGCCCATGTCGTGAATTTGTCTAAGGCCTTTTGCATGTTCTTTTGCATGTCATCAGCAAATTTAGCCAAGTCAGTTCTGGCATCGAGGTAGGACGATTTCTGTATGTCATTGATCATGATATTGAAAAAGGTGGGACTGATGACCGTAAAATTAATTCAGCTATTGAGGTTTAAGTATCCGAAAGCCAAAAATGGTTTTCAAATTTTCAATTACAACCTTAATCTGGTTGATTGGTTGGTGACGTTACAGGCACTACACATACTATATACATTATCTATACAATACACACCACAGTTGACACTGTGTACATGTCAGTCCAATTAACATGTGAATTTAAAATGCTGTATCATGCCGTAGATCCATTTAAGGTGCCATTGTTTAAATAGGTCCTGTGACAACTGAAGACGACCTAAGCAATTAGCGAATTTAACGGTAATTTGGATAACCCCGTAATACTTGATATCCCAAACTATTCTCTATAAGTACAGAAATACAAATGGTGCCAGTCAATTGTCGATATATTCATTATTAGCTATATATAATAATAATAACCATTTCTATACACAAAGAACAACTTTTATCGTAACCCTATTTGAAATTCACAGCGATTATGGAATTTTCCGATGACCATGCATAGATCCTCCTCATTTCTCAGCCAATCAACGCTGGGAATTTTATTGCCATGTATGGTTCCATAAACTACGGGCGTATTAACTAAGGTTAAACTTTGGCACGAAAATTGCATGGGATTCATGGACATGAATATAAAATACACTTGATCATACGCAGAGTTCCTGATGCCGTTCGGTGAGTGATTAAATTGTCAATGCAATTGTGAAATACTTTTATTATAAAGACGATAACCTAATCATATCACAAAAGTTTATCCCTCGAATAATTCATATTCAGATTTCATATCAAGTCAACAAATAATATGTGGCTACCTGATTACAAAAACACCGGTCAGCAATAATTATTGGGTAAATAATAATTATAAACTACTGATGAGTAAAATTTAATTATTTTATACAATTAATATGTGTGTGTTTACGATTCTACCATTAGTTCATTCATTGGTACTACGCACACGTTCCACCTAGAGTGATCGTCTTTGATCTGGCCGGGGGGGTTGGATGGCTGAATGGTTAGCGTGCACGCACTGTATCATATAAAGTCTGTCATTGAGTCGACTGGCGTGGTTTCGAATCCCCGGTTGTACGTGACAAGGAGTAGGGTCGCCTGTCCAACCTCGTGGGTTTTCTCCGGGTCCTCCGGTTTCCTCCCACAGCTAAAGACCCCTAAGCGCAAGCGAATTATGTAAATAAAATTAAACCATATGTTAGTCCCGAAATGACCTAGTTTGTGTCGAGTGGACGTTAAACCCCATTTCTCTCTCTCTCTTGATCTGGCCAGCGTACAAAAGATAATTACCTAATCAGCATTCTTAATCCCACTTACAATCACTGCTAACACCGAGATGTAAATTAATTTATGACCCCAAGTCTGTATAACTTTAGTCGGATTGATTAATTAATGACAGATATTAATGACACTACTTGCCATATTACTATCAATACACAAAGATAGTTAGATGACCCTTCTCAATCTGTCTGTTATTCCATTTAGATGGTTACCTAAAAATTTATTTGTACTGTTAATTCTAACATATATTGAGATATTTTTTCGTATTTCATTTTTACGGTATATTTCAGATTAAACCACAGCTATGATGTCATCCTTTGTTCTTTTAAGCCATTATAATGAGGAATGGATTGTTGTCTAAACAAACAGTCCATTATTAATGAAAACAATCCATTATTAATGGAAATAGTCCATTATTTTTAGACATTGTCATTATTAGTGAAAAATACATTAATAATAAAGTGTAGTCATTATATAATTATTAAGCAACTGAAAATAAATCAAACAACCTGTCCATTTATTACTAATTTCCCTTTCACCATTTACAACATTTTAAATAAATTGAAATTTCCGAAGAATAGATGTTAATTTCCCTGGAATCACTGGACACTTTTGAATTATTTTGTTTTGGACTTGACGGTTGACACAATTTTGGACACTTTTCAGCTACACAAATGTTACGTAAGTCCGATAGTTGATTGTCGCGTGTCCGTTTATATGCATTTGAACGATGTCCAGTTTTTTCCACAATGAGCTGTTCATCTACTCCTGCAGCAAACAAACGTGTAGCTGCGATAGCTCTCAATGAGTGGTTCGTATAGTTCCCTTTGAATCCAGCCACCTGGCAGATGCGTTTTATTGTCTGCTGTAATAAATGAATTCCCATAGGCGAGTCACCATACCATACATTAGAATCTGGTAGCTTCCTAGGTCTCAGATAAAAAGCATCAGTCGGTGTGAAAACTAGAAATAATCTGGTTTTTAACACGATTTTCTAAATCATCACCAGTCTAATTGAAAGAATGGTTGTTTTGTTTCTGTGGATTATTAACAAACAATACAATCTGGTCAATTTATTTTACGAAAAGTTGATTTTACGACCCATTTAATCAAAAGCCAATCAAAATGCTTCTGAATTTAGAATAATTGTAATGTGTACATATTCATCAAATGATTCTAGACTGGGTAATAAAGAGCGAAATAAACAACCATATAGTAGTAGCCTACCTTAAACTCGCGTATTTTTTTTTATAAAGACGTATTGTAGATTTTGCAATTTTTGATTCGCTCTAGTGACCTTAGGTTGTATTCTGCGGTGGTTCAAGCCACCACGATCGGTTTTTGACACATCTTCACAATATTGTATGTATTTCCTCCCCTCACTCTCAGTGTTAATTGAGAGTTGAGAATATTGGCCAACAGTACGTAAGCTCCTATGCTCCTGTCCACTCTTTTCTGCTTGGGCACATAATCCATCGTTAACTAACTTTTGTAGCTCCAAGTGTTGCAACGGTTCACCAAATCTGGAATTACTGCGATTATTATGGGCTTTGTATTCCACTTTAGAGTCAAGGTTTGTATCCACACCCGATATATCAGAATAAATATATATTAAAATTTGGATGGTCAATCCTTGGATTTGCATTCTCCCCCATATCCAATATGTCACTCCATACATTGTCATTGTCATAACTAGGAACTGGGTAATAAATATATCCTCTCCACTGGAAGACATGACTGTATTGATATCCTTGTTTCGTTTGTATTAATTGTTAAAAAATCACCCAGTGGCAGTCACATGACTGCGGTGTTGGTTTAAGTAACTGTCCATTATTTCTGAGGTGTTACAAGACACTATTGTTTTAAGATGTCTATTATTTTAGACAAAGAGTGGCTATGGTTTAAGTTAGATAATAGCCTCAGACTGTCCATTATGTAAATACAAAGAAAAACTTCGGGGCTAACGCCCCTCAGTTGTTCTTTCTATTTACATAATGGACAGTCTTCGGCCATTATCCATTACGTAATGAAGTCAAATCTGCCGTACGATGATAACGGATCGTCATTTACAAATCGCTTTTCAATCATGTTTGACTTTTATAATACATTTTGCATGACCACATCTTTTTACTCCTGTACTCTTTTACTCTGGAAAATTAGAACCACAATACTCTTTTGACGAAAATGTATCTCGAATCGATTGGACTGCACACGATGTTAGAGGGTATTAAAATTGCTGTCGTGAGAAACGAAAACGACTGTACATTATGAAACAAATTCTAAATTGGATCTTAAATTAAAATGAATTACAAAACAAATTATTCCGTAGTCAATTGTTTTATTTAATTAGGGGGATTAAGGCTGTATATAGGTAATTAAGGAATAAACATTCCGAATATGCATTCGGTCACTGTGACATCACTGGCGTCTGAGGGGATTGAGAGAGTTTTCGGTAATTGGCAAAGTCGTTTTTACGGGAGGTCTATTTTTACGACTTTGAGTGACAATAATTGAATTAATTTCAATCAGATTGGTGTGAACTTGCCGTAAAGTTGATATAGTAACCATTGGCTACACGTATCGAAAAGTTCCCAAGCCCATCTTATGTGCACTTTAACATGTCATTTTAACTCCATGCAATATCTAGATGCGGTTGTTTTGCTGCATTTTCCAAGCATTTATAAGTGTTTAATCATAAATAAACTAAGTTATTAAATTTAATACATGTTAATTTTGTACTTACACCCTGGCCATCAGCTCTTTTCACCATGACTAAATGTGGTTCACTAAAATTTTGCTGTTTATTCTCCTCATGTGCTGGTTTCTTACAGCATCGGAACACACAGCACAATACAATCCAGATTAGAAAAATAAAAGCTATAGGACCTAATACTGCTCCAATAATCCACAACTTTTTATCTTCTGTAACTGGTGATACAACTGGTGCATTATAAGCTGTAATATGAATTAATAAATATTACATTTACAGATAAAACTTGATTAGCCATCTGTCAACAGTTATCTAATTATTATACAATATTGCTTAATTCGTCATTAGTGCTGAACATTATAAAATATATAGCTTATCATGGTATTTATATCATGATAATTCACTAAAAATATCCAACATTAATTTTATTTCAATACATTCACTTGTGCTCATTTTTATTTAGCAGTGGCAGAAACCTGGAGGACCCGGAGAAAACCCACGATGTTGGACAGGCGACCCTACTCCTTGTCACGTATAACCGGGGAATCGAAACCACACCAGTTGACTGAATGACAGACCTTATGATACAGTGTGCACGCACTAACCATTAGGTCAATAAACCCCCCAAGTAAAACAAGTTATCTGATTTCATTCATAGGACAAAAAGCTACATGAATGTCTGTGTTAGGTAAATTTGGTGCAATGCGTGCACGTGAAACCACAAGGTCTGTCATTATCATTGAGTCAAGTGATGTGGTTTAGATTCCCCGCTTGTATGTGACAAGGAGTAGGTTCGCCTGTCCAACCTCATGGGTTTTCTCCAGGTCCTCCGGTTTCCTCCCACTGCTAAAAACCTTTGGATTAACTTGGCATTTGGATTTAAAATTAGTCCGTATCACCGTATTGTTATTGTTTTGTGTCTGTATTTGGTTGTGCAGATGTCTTTCATTGTCTAATAGAAAACAAGAATATCTAACACTAAATCATTATCAATTTCATATACAAACATTTTTTGCTTTTTTTAAACCAGCGGTTGCAAGACAGGATACGCCAGCATTTTGCAAGAGATAGATAGAGATCAAGCTAAAACAAAAAGCGATTTTTCGTGCAATCAAGGGCCATAATTCAGGAAGTTACGATCCGATATACGCGACTATCGATAGGAACAAAGATTTTTGGGTTATAAAGATATATTTAAAGTTTCATCAAAATCGGATCAAAATTGTGACTTCAAGAGGGTCCACAACCTTGATATACCATATTTTTATACTATTCGCCTACTAGCGGCGGCCTTTTTGTCCGGCAGTTTTGGTCCAATTTTCACGAAAATTTGAACTCAACCTTTATTATGGTGTTACGGTGATATATACAGGCGATTTTTCGTATTATCAGGGGCCATAATTCAGGAAGTTACGATCCAATATGCAACAATATCGAAAGGAACCAAGATATTTAGGTTATAAACAAGCATTTTAAGTTTCATCAAAATTGAATTAAAATTGTGATCTCTACAGGGTCCATAACCTTGATATACCATATTTTTACACTATTCACGTACAAACTGCGGCCATTTTGGTCCGATTTTCACGAGATTCAAACTCATCCTTCCTTACTGTGTAACGGTGATAAAATCAAACAGTTTTTTAAATCGGATAATAATTGTGACCTCCAGAGGGACCACAAGCTAAAAAAGGCGATTTTTCGGACAATCAGGGGCCATAAATCAGGAGGTTACGTTCCGATGGGCGCAAATATCGAAAGGAACCAAGATCTTTGGATTATAAACATCCATGTCAATTTTTATCAAAATTGTGACCTCTATACGATATGGTCCACGAGCTAAAAATGTGATTTTTCGTACAATCAGGGGCCATGAAGTTTCGATCCGATACATGCCAATATCGAAAGCAGCCGCGATCTTTTGGGGATAAACCTATATTTCAAGTTTTTGTCAAAATTGGATAAGAATTCTGACCTGTAGAGTCCACAAACAATTGTGGATGGACGGACGGACGGACGTCCGGACCTCCAGATATACGGACGGACAGGGGCGACGCCAATATACGTCCACATGAAAATGTGGGCGTATAAAAATTGTGACATTTAGAGTGTTCACAAACAACTGTGGACAGACGGACAGGGGCGACGACAATATATGTCAACATGAAAATGTAGGCGTATAAAAAAAACCCACTAAAATTAAACCTAAACCATAAAACTATTACTTTTTAAGGAGAAACCATATATACACTATTTGCGTACAAAGGGTGGCCATTGTGTTTGGCAGTTTTGGTCCGATTTTCATGAAATTCAAACTCAATCATCATTAGGGTGTAACGGTGATATATTCAAACAGTTTTTTAAATCGGATAAAAATTGTTACCTCTAGAGTGACCACAAGCTAAAAACGTGATTTTTCGTACAATCAAGGGTCATAATTCAGGAAGTTATAATCTGATATACATGAATTTTGAAAGGAACCGAGATCTTTGTGATATAAACATGTATTTCAAGTTAAAAAAACTCATCAAAATCGAATCAAAATTATGACCTCTAGATAGAGGGTCCACAACCTTGATATACCATATTTTTACACTAATTGCATACGAGGGGCGGCCATTTTGTCCGGCAATTTTGGTCTGATTTTTACGAAAATTCGAACTCAAGCGTCATTACAGTGTAACAGTGATATACAGTGGAATCTGCATTAAGCAGCCATAGGAGTACGGGCTCGATGACGGTTAGGGGGGCAGAACCCGAAATGCCCGAAAAAATTTCGGGTTTACAGACAGCGGCGCCGGTCTTCCTCGAGAGGCGAAGAAGTAGAGCTTACCTTGTATGGACCCCCCCCCCCCAAGAAAATTTTGGAATATTTGACGGCTGCAAACACGTTCTCCTGCAATTTCAGCCCGTGAACAATTCCAATCAAAAGATCAATCGTTTACAGTCCACGAAGACAGAACTTCAATTTGGTCCAATATAGCCCACCTGTCTGACCCGAATTCCAAACAACCAATCAATCGTCGCGGGGTATGGGGGCCTCACCCTCACGGGAACATTTTGAAAATTTAACCACCGCATATGCATTTTCTGCTATTCTAGCGCGTGTAACCAACTCCAAATGTATCCAATGGTTTTGTAACCGAAATCCCATTCTGAATTCCAACCATCCAATCAGACTGTTGCAGCTGCATTCACAAATAATAATCGATGCCGGAAAAATGTCGCACAAAGTAGAGTGGCTCCAGACAAAATGTTTTAATCCATAGTCAACTCAGTACAAATTTGTGGTATTCAATTAAAAGCTAAGTAAAATTAGTGTTTTATTAAGGCTCGATGACAGTTAGGGAAGCAAAACTAGAAATGCCCTAAAAGATTTCAGGTTTACAGACAGCGGCGCCGGTTTTCTTCGAGAGGCAAAGAAGCGGAGCTGACCTTGTAAGGACCCCCCCAAGAAAAATTTTGGAATATCTGACGGCCACAAACGTGTTTAACTGCTATTCCAGCCCGTAAAATTAGTGTTTTATTAGATTTCGGGCACTTTATTTTGCCAAGTAGATGAAATATTTTTTTTTTCACTTTACCTTTCTGCCCGAAAAGTCAGCTTGCCCGAAAGTTAGGGGGGCAGCTGCCCCCCCTGCCCCCCTGGCTCGTACGCCTATGTAAGCAGCCACCCAAGGGAATTTTCGTGACTGAACGCTTAACGGGAGTGGCCTCTTAATAAAATCTCGGTGCTTTTTGTGCTGACACCAATTAAATATTACGCTTGGATGCATTGGAAGCAAACATCAATACTTGCATCGGTAAATTTGACCGTCGCTGAATCTTGCGCTGAACGAAAATTCTTTACTCAAATCTCGGACATAACTTCTGTAAACTTGTCATTTTGTACCAACCTTCGATACTACTGTCTACCATTGTGATGCATTCGATAATATTTATCCATTTTTGTGAAGAAAATCGATGAATTAATTTTATTTTATCAAAAAAGCACGTGAACAAAAAACCATCGCTGATTTTATCACCGATTTACAGAGGGTGTAACTCTGTATGTAATATTATAGGAGGCGCTAAAACGTCTGTTTAACAACAAAGTGGCAATGGAAAAGAGATACCAGATGATTGTGACAAAACTGGCCTTCGTTGGTACTTTTATTTTATTCAATCAGATATGAAATAATGTTTCGTTACGCATGAAAACAATGATCAGGTTAGTCGTTAAATAAAACAAAAGATTAATTAACAGATAATCCCGGGTTTATAGTTATTTTCACAGTTCTTTTTACCTGATCAGCGGAGATCCAGTTAATTAACTATTAATCACGGGATTAACAAGGTGTTACGAAGAACGACAAGATGGTATCATTCAACAATGGCCGTTAAATGGGCGATGTTTTATTAAATTTATTACTAAAATAGTGACCGCTGGCCGCGTTAGAGGAGTGACCGTTGAATAAAGAGATGAAACAATAGAATTTGTACGGGAGGAATTTATCGTGACCGCTTACAAGGAGATGTCGCTGAATGAGAGTGGCTGCTCATACAGATTCTACTGTATTCAAACGTTTTTTTAAATCGGATAATAATAGTGACCTCTAGAGGGACCATAAGCTAAAAACGTGATTTTTCGTACAATCAGGGGCCATAATTCAGTAAGTTCCGATCCGATATGCACAAATATCAAAATGTATCAAGATCTGTAGGTTATAAACATGCATTTCAAGTTTCATCAAAATCAGATGAAAATTGTGACCTCTAGAGTGTCCACATGCTAAAAAGTGATCTTTCGTACAATTAAAGGCCATAATCCATGAAGTTATGGTCCGATATATGCCAATATCGAAAGGAACCAAGATCTTTAAGAGATAGACCTATCTTTTAAGTTTTGTCAAAATCGAATAAAAGTTGTGACCTGTAGGGTGTCCACAAACAAATTTTGGATGGACGGACGGACAGGGGCTACGACAATATACATCCTCATGAAAATGTGGGCGTATAAAAAATGACAAATGACAGTATGGCATTGATGAAATTACAGATCTTGTTCCGTATTCAAAGGATTTCTTAAAACTAAGTGAAAATACCTAATTTTTCTACTTAACCAAATAATCCATATAGTATTGTAAATGCGTCAGCTTTTAAAGTTGAAATCCTGGAATAAGCTTTATTTTGAAGGTTTCAACGTTTAATAACAAAAACATATGCCCACAGCAGCTAAGTCATCCGGGCAGTCAACAAGGGCCTG